GGAGGATTTATACAGGTTTCTAATGGAGGCACCAGATGATAGATACTTGATTTTGAAAGTGAGTTAATTTACCTGTGTTTTTAACAATGCAAAGAATTAATTTGTTGTTTTTTCGTAGATAGGCATGATATTTGGTGTAGCTGGAGCATGCAGAAGGGAGGAATTATGTAATTTGACTTTACAAGACATAGATAATCAGGAAACGTTCATTTTTGTTAAAATACCCAATACAAAAACCAATATTCAAAGGAGTTTCACCATCACTGGTAAAGAAGACCAGCGAGTGGATTATTTGGAGATTTGTAGGAAATATATCGAACTACGACAAAAAACCGCAAAATCAAACAAGTTATTCTTAAAAATTCGAAACGGCTTTTGCACTAATCAAGTTGTAGGAAAGAATACCATAGGAAAATGGCCAGCACAAATTGCCACATTTTTAAATTTGCAAAATCCTTCTCAATACACTGGACATGCTTTTCGCAGAACTTCTGCGACGCTTCTTGCAAATAGCGGCGTAGAAGTATTAGCTCTCAAAAGACATGGAGGTTGGAAATCCTCGACGGTTGCCGAGGGTTATATCGAGGACTCCATAGAGAGCAAATTGAAATTCGCAGACCAAATTTTACACCAAACTCCTTCAACAAGTGGTAAGACTACGATCCAAACAACATCCAGACAACTAAACGATGAACCTCATCCTGTTTCTCTGATAAATGATACAGAAAATACGGTTGTTCTTGATAAGCACATAAGAAAAGGAGGTGTTGTGATATATAATTCACATAACTGTATATTTAATTTGTATGTTAACAAAAAATAATAATATTTAAATTCTATTAATATTAAACCTATGTACTATAGTTGTTGAGGTGCATAATAAATTATAATTCTTGTTTTATTTCTATTTCCATAGTTGAAAACACGGATTAAATTGAACTAGTGGCCTCCACCAATATTCGAGAGTGTTTGATGACACGAAAATAGCGGGCGGTAAGTTCAACTTACCGCCCGCAAACGCGGGCGGTAAGTAGTACTTACCGCCCGCTCGTGCATAAAATAATATTATTCCCAGATCCATCTCGAAACATTCGAAACACAACGTATGTAAACAAAAGGAAAAAAAAATCAAATCCTACGTCGTTATGGCGCAGGCGTTAGTCGTTCAAGGATTTGTCATCCCAAGCGCATCCTTTTCAACCAGTGAAATATTTAACTTGGTTAAGTTTTACCCAGGGTAAACCACTGTGAACGCGCCCTAGAAGTTACACTTTAATCTTCAGTCTTAGACGTTACGTTTTAATCGTCACCTTTTATTCGTCACGCTTAGTCCTTAACTTGAGTAAAAGAGTTAAACGTTGAGCTTACTGCGTGTTTCAAGTAGTACCTCCAATCTTCAGCCTCCTCTAGACCATTGGAAGCTTTAGTGACTCCTAATTGCTGAACTTCAGTGCCCAGGGCCAGTGGCTTCTTGTTGCGGCCTTGATCCAGACCCAGGCCATCGGAAACACTGGAAGATATTAGTTCCATCCGTCAGGTTCCCCCAAGAGTTTAGGGACTACTCAGGTTTGATAAGTGTGTTGTATTGTCTTAATATCAAACCTTACCAACCCCTTGTTGGAGTAAATCACCACAACAACGCAGTTCTACTATCCTAAAATTATCCTTCAGATTAGATGTTATTATTTCAGTTTTAATCAATTATATATCTTACCTTTACTATATGAAATTTACCATTCAGGTTGGGTATTGTTAGGTACTTCAATTTGATTAGGTATCTAGGTATTTATCCTACCTATATTGTTACATAATATTAAAGCCCTTCAGGTTACGTATTGGAAAAATCGATTTTCCGCACTGATATGCGTGCGGAAAATGAGTTTTCCCGCACGGTGCGGTATAACTTTTTTTTCTGACATATCAGTGCGGCTGCGGAAAAAGTTTTTCCGCACGGCTGTCAGTGCGGAAAAAATTTTACCGCACTGATATGTCAAAAAAAAAAGAAAAATTTTACATTTTTTCGCCTGTAGGAAAAATATTGTACCTAACACTTGCGGAAAAATTCATTTTCCGCACTTGTTAGGTAAATAGCTATTTCAAATGAACTAAATACAAAAATCTTTCTTGAGACAAAGTTGTCGAAGGTGCCATGATGAGCTGTGTGAGATAATACGTAAATGAACTATTAACGCACAATGTTATTAGATCTTTAATTTTTTCCCTATTATCATTGTGACAGAATTTTTTTTTTAGTTATCTTCTTTACTTGAATAGCTATTTTCCTAACGAGTGCGGGAAGAGAAATTTCCGACACGAGGGTGCCGGAAATTTCTTCCCGCAAGAATTAGGAACTATATTTTTTCTACGAGCATACTCAAGCTAATGTTACGAGAAGTTTAATTTAAATAAAAAGCGATTGTGCAGAAGGTAGGATTCAAAATGTATTGAAAGGTATTTATAAAAAAAAAGGTAAAGGTATTAAAGGTAAAGGTATAGGTGTATCGACAATAAAAACATTTATTTGTCACTCATTTGTAAAACGTCACTTATCAAGTCAAAACAAAACCAGCGAAAATTGATTTTTACGAGCTACTGGCTCTACTGACTTGTAAAATTGACAGCTAAACTGTAAAAACTTTTTACAAGTCAGTAGAATTATTTATTTTTGAAAAATCGGTTTTATCACAAGAATAATTGCTTGTAGGTACCTTCTGGGAGACTTTTCTGGTGATAAACTGTTGGCTACGACTGCAGCTTCATTAATAATATCTTGTAATAAATTCATTTCTGGAAAAAAATTGCAAAATGGAAATCTGTCAAAAAACCTATTTATAACTAGAGACAACGTCTTAACAACGTATCATTCTCATAGTTATACCAACTACCAAAACTTCTGTGAGAAAAAATCAAGGAAAAACATAAATTTCAAATTTTTGTTATGTATTGATTTTTTATTTGTCCCTATATCTTTTACAAATGAGTAACAAATAAATTATTAAACCCAGTTCCGGGATGGAACCAAAAATGGGTTGTGTTTTCTCTCTGCGGGACCTAAACCGTGCTGATGAGCTGTGATACAGCGAAACGCGTCCACGGATGGTCTTGCAGAGATAAAGCACTTCTCAATCGGTCCTTAATTGGGCCGTTACCTAATTAAAATAAATTATTGTACATTATACGCCAGGTAGCAGTTTTTACTGGCTCTTGAAGGTGACAAGCTCCTGGCGGCTCGCTAGTCATTTCCTTCAATCGCCAGTAAAAACTGTTTTACCTGGCTAATAATGTAAAATACTATTTCATGTCACAATGGCTACGTTCACCAGAACCAAAACGGATTGTAAACAGTTTACAAATACCAACAGAATACGTTGGGTAAACTCTTGGTTCTGCTGAACGATTCAACTTTCCAATGATAAAACGTCACCCTCTGAATGTTATGTCACCACACAAAGCACAAAAAAAGTGTTGAAAATTATAAACACTCTCAAATTACGCTTGCAAAAATGGCGACCGTTTAAAAAACATGTTTGGTTTCAACACAAATTCAACGTAGCGTTCAGCAGAACAATCGCAAAGCGTTTACCAAAGTTTGTATCTGGTGAACGCGGCCAATGATTATTTCAAACTCTTCCCGCACTGAGTGCGGGAAGAAATCTCTTCCCGCACTGGTGCGGGAAAAAAGTCTTCCCGCACAGCAAATCGTGCGGGAAGAGCCATTTCCCGCACGCTCGTAGAAAAATAAATTTGTTTGCAATTTGGCGCCCCTTAATCATGGCGCCCTAGGCGGTTGCCTCGGTTGCCTGTGCCTAAATCCGGCCCTGGATATTCTTTTGAAATATCACTTCAAATAAAGTCAGGAAAAAATAAAAGCAATTTTGCAAAAGCAAAATTGTTTTGTTTTTTTCTGGATATCTCCGGAAGTATTTGGAATATCCTAAATATCAAAGCGACATTTTGTTGAGCATCAACATGCGCAACTTTGCCATAATTTAACCGACCCTGTATCTCTTACGGTTTCCGAGATGCCAATGATGAGGCTCGAATTTGGGCCACCCTGTACATCAAATACGTTGTTTTTGATGGATGTCCATTTAAATCCTTGTTCATATTTAAAAGTAAGAAAAGGTTGGGCACAAAATGGCGGCGTTTTCCATATATAGGATTTTAAGAACGAATCAAAAATGTGACAATATCGCCTGTGTGGTTCTGAGTTGTATTCCTTTCACACCTGAGCCGCTTTCGGGTGCAGAGTGCGAACGTTTGAAACCGAACGGGTCAAGCTATAGCCAGAGTACTTCAGAGTAACTCGGCAGCGCTAAAAGGGTGGCACCCGAAAGCCTTACCGAAAGCAGCTCTGGGAGGAGTTCCGGAACAGCTCCGGGGCGTTACGCGCTTATTCCTTTCGAAAAGTGTTTGTTGCACCTGAGTGCTCAAGCCCGACTCAAACCATTTAAATGTATGAAAGCCAGCGCATCTGTTCCTTTCAAATCAGGGTCGAGTAACACCGGAGCGAATAGCTCTGCGGGCCGATCCTCGAGCCAGGAGTAGAGCTCCTCGAGAGAACAAATTTTTCGTCTTTACCATTCTCATTTACTTTTCGATTACGTTGACAAAGACAAAACATTCGTTCTATCGGGGAGCTCTTCTCCCTGGCCCGAGGATCGGGCTTCTGGTGTTTTATACTCTTAACCTTGCGTTCGGTATTTTGCTCAAAGAGCAGAGCGTGCCGAGCGGAGCCATAATCACGTGACCAGTGAGCGAACAGAGCAGTTGAACGCTGTATAAAAGTGCCAGAAATTTTAATAAACGAACGCGAATGAGGCTGCACCGAGTACACTTTTTAAATAAACGAACGGTAAAGTCAAGCTCGGAGAACTCGGACCAAAATAACGAACGCACGGTAAGGAATACAACTAATAGCGTCACTGTAATACGAGTCAACGGTAGGAAGTCACCTTTAGAATTTACTATTGCACCGTCGCGGCGGTACACCAGATCATTGCAGACTACCCAGAGTTCTTAATTTTTTCTTCTGTTGTGTGATTATTTTTATAGTGGTTTCCTTAATTTCAATAAAAAGTTTAATATGCGATTATTGAATAATATTGTTTGGGTAACTTGGTTGTGAATGTGAAGATAAGTTGATAAGTAGCCCAGTAGGTAAGTACCGACCGTACTGTTTCGTATTAGATACCTACTTCTTGATTTTAAAAGGTTGGACCTCCGGTTAGTCGAATTGAGTTGGACTCTCCTTTCAATAAACCAACACCTTAATTAACTTAATAATTATTGTGATTTAATATGTAGTTTATAGGTAGGTAGTCATTATGAGACAATTGAGACATAGCTAATACATTCATTATACATACACGAAAACCTACCTAATTGAAACTTGAGCCATTAGCCAAATATCCACCCAGCACTGAAATAAACTTCTAGAATCCTTGAGTAGGTATTCACAAAACATTAGCAAAGACCTCGGCAAAGACCGTATGTAGAAGGTAGTAGGTTAGGCTTCCAGGGTCTCTGGTTTGGTAGAAAAATAATTAGAATGTTATTTTTAATCTAAATAAATGCAATGCAATTTTAGGTACCTACCTCGCCTGTCGGTACCTATAAAAAAGATCTATTTTCAAATCCAAGCAGAGTAAACGATGCAGGTGAATGATATAAGGGCATTTTTTTGAATTTTTGTGACAAAGCGTTGTGAAATGGTTCCAAAACACTCCATTTTCTTGAGTCAATAGGCGTGCTCTTTCTACGGTTCGTCTCATCCCATTTTCAGATAAAGTGAGATGAGGTTATCTGAGTAAATCATATGTAAGTAAGTAAGTGAAGAAGTGAGATGAGATATGAGATTGAGTGAGAACCTCGGTAGAAAGAACATGACTATTGATGACGTCACACTTGATTCTGGTTCAAAACATTTTAAAAGTTTCTCGGAAACCATTTCATGATTTCAATAGTAAATTGTCAAAAAACGGGGCCAAATTGAACAGATGCCAGGTTCAAGGGCTCGTTCAAGGGCATTGTAAAGTCTGTTTTTTTTTAAAAGATAATTCCCCAAGTCAAAAATTAAGTAACTATGTTGGCAACACAAGCCTTTTCTACACAATGAACTATAACCAAAACTGGAATGCGAACACATATTGACGAACGTGAAGCCCTCAGTGAAGCCTAGTGCCGCTGCTGCGGAGGGGATACCTGTTTTTGTCGCACTCATTATGTTAAATGGCGGAAATTGCTTCCAACACGTATTCCAATTGATGAAACCTGTGAAGGTAAATATGAAACAACTTTCCAAAACGTCATATGTCAGCGAGCAACAGAAAAAAACAACATTCCCCTTTGTGGCATCTGTTTTTCATGGCTACATTTTTTTGGCAGATATGGCAATGTGTGCGCATTCCAGGCTTTGACTATAGTTCATTGTTTCTACATAAAAAAATTTGAAAGCATTGACAATGTTACATTGTATTGCCAACATAATGTCATTTTGACTTTTATCTTTAAAAAGAAAACAGACTTTAGTTTTGAAACGTTGCATTTTTGTTCATGAAATAGTTACATCGTTACAGTCTTTGAAACTGTTCCCTCAAAAAAAAATGCCCTGTAAACAAACATCGGCTGGTAATCCAGCATTCCTATTGGTTATTATGCATATAAGGACCAGTGCGCATGGGCGTAAGTAGGATCGGATTCAGTTGAAGCTTCTGAGGAAAAAAAAACTGCTCCATCACGTTTGGTTTTTAGCTCCGTTTTTAGTGACGTTAAGTCAGTTGAGTGTTATTTCCCGAGATCTTTCTCAAATAATTATTATGTCCAGTACAGCATTGTCTTAGTTCTGTCCTGCCTGCCTGATCTGAAAATGACCAGTTTGGAGAGCCAGCACCGAAAAAATTCTCTGAATTTACTAAAGCCAGTTTTTGGACATGGATTACAATAGTTATGTACCATTGTCACCAAAAGTATCTGGGACACAAATAATGCATAATAATCTGGACTAATTCTACTGTCATTCACACAGAACGTCATTCATTTCAATGCATTTGATTCATAGTTTGACAATAAAATTCATATAATAGGACAAGAGCTAATGTAATGCTGTCCCAGTTACTTTTGGTGACGATGATACATAAATATAGCGCAGTCAGTCAACCGAAACTTGGGACAAGGACCTAGGGTGTCTTGTTAAATTTGTCGAGATAACTTAGGTAATGCAACAAATTTACTGTCTGAAAATTGGTATACATATTATTATTGTATATTATATTACACTTGTGCTATTCAACTGACTGACTAATATTACTGTTATTTATATGTTAAATTCAATATGTATAACGATTTTCAGCTTTAGTAAATTTAGTAAATTTGTTGCATTACCTTCGTTATCTCGAAAACTTTACCAAGATACCCTCTCTTGTTCCAAGTTTCGCTTGACTGACCGCGCTATATTTATGTACCATCGTCACCAAAAGTAACTGGGACAGCATCACTGCTCTTGTCCTATTAAATGAATTTTATTATCAAATATTTGTCAAACTATGAATTGAATGCATTGGAATGAATGACAGTAGAATTAGTCCAGGATATTTTTATGCATGATTTGTGTCCCAGATACTTTTGGTGACGATGGTACATAACTATTGTAATCAACTGTCTAAAAACTGACTTTAGTAAATTCAGAAAATTTTTTTGGCGCTGGCTCTTAGACTATTAAAGTCTGTTTTTTTTTTTTAAAGATAAAAGTCAAAATGATATTATGTTGGCAAAACAAAATGTTAAATTGTCAATGCTTTCCAATTTTTTATGTAGAAAAGGCTTGTGTTGCCAACATAGTTAAAGTCTGTTTTTTTTAAAGATAAAAGTCAAAATGACATTATGTTAGCAATACAATGTGAAATTGTCAATGCTTTCAAATTTTTTATGTAGAAAAGGCTTGCCAAAATAGTCACTAAATTTTTGACTTGGGGAATAGACCTATCTATTTTATCAGAAAAAGAGGTAATAATACGAAAACTTTATTAGAAAGAAAAAGACGCAGAACGCTTATTGCGCAAGACGAGGCAAAACGTACCAAATTATGTTAGACTTACGTATAGCAATCCGTTCCTATTATTTGCACAGGATAAAAAAGGAAGGAGGAATACTGCGTGACGTGCAACGTATTTGCCAATCAAAAACACAAACAAGTTGAATATCAAGCATAATTTTATCCTTGTTAGACTACGGGCAATGAACAAGGACAAGGAGATGCCTAGCGTGCAAAAGGATTACTTCACACCTGTACTAGTTAGCCAATAAAAATGAATTGCCTCGTGTTGCGCGCGCATACAGGTAAAAATAGATAGGTCTATTATCTTAAAAAAAAAAAACAGACATTACCATATTTTTGACTTTCCAATTATCTTTAAAAAAAAAACAGACTTTATTCGAGACTTTATTTGCAAGACCAACCTCTTCTTTTTGAACATTATCAGTTTACGTCACTGCCACTTGGATTTGAAAGTAAAGTTCCCGGTAAAGTTCGTTTCACGAGGGTATAAGGATCCTCCACACCGGCGCGGTATGGCAGTAGCGGTAGCCACATGTTCGTTTACCGCTGCAGGAATATCGCTACCGCAGAATTATTCATATGACACATTCAGTTCTTTTGACAAATTAAAATGAACGACTTCTGGTTTAAGAACCGACGAACGTTTTTGACGTCATTGATTTGTTTCATTCAATTTCTATTTGTTAAAAAAGGAAGACAAATTATGTCAAAACTATAAACCCTCGTGAAACAAAGTGTAGGTACCAATTTCTATTGAAACAAGAAAGTATTTTAATGACCGGTTTATCAGTGGACAGTTATTTAGTTAATCTGTTGGTTAACTGTAATTATCATTGGGTTTTCCACTATTTTTATTTCTATGATGCCTTCCTTAACATGTTTCAGCACACGGTGCCCTATTCAGCAGATGGGAAAAACAGTTTCTATAGGGAAATTAATAAAATAATGGATGCACGTCATCAAAATGTATGACGTTAGCATGTCGCAATGTTGCCGCATCAACTTCGTTTTACTTTGACATACCATGTCTAGTAAAGTTTGTCATTTTCGCAAGTTACATTTTTATTAATAAATTGATGAGAATACCACATAAATGAAATTCCATTAATACAATTTTATAGCAAGTCTACTTAAATCAAGACTTATATTATACGCCAACTATCACATCCTTCATTTTGCAATGTTGCCGGATTTTTTTCTATTTCAAAATAATACACTTACCCATATTGCAAAAAAAAATATGTAAGCAACTCGTTTATTATTGTTTCCTTCAAGTTTGGCAAAGCAGCAAATTCCTTTGCAGTATACAGGGTTTCTTTTATATATTGACACCTCCCTGCAGCCTTTACCTTGAGAGTGTGGAAACTCCCCGAATTTTTAATATAAACATATTGGCCAATGATCAATTAGGTATAATCATTATAATGGAATATAAATTTTCCATTTGTGTTGGGTATCTCCGAAACTATTGTTTAATTGGACTCTAGCAATGGTTACTTTTAATCAGTAAGATTTCCTCTAAACGAAATAAAAAATTCAGGGAATTTCCACATAGATCACTTTCACATAAGGTTTGAGCGGGGTCCTTTAGAAGTGACAAAGTTTCAAGAGGGGCGTGGAAATAAAAGTTACTGTTTTTTAAAAATCGTCTAAAAATCTTTGAAAAAATCGTCCTTATAGACCGTCAGCTAATAACACATTTTGCTGACCAATTTTCTCTTTTCGGGGATTTCAACCACTGAAAATTATGTCAAAGCTGATCTCAAAAAATGAAAATTTAGCGACCGGATGTATGCTAGGCATATAGAAAATTTACTTTCCTTCTGGCGGCTGTAAAATATATTTCAACAGCTGACCGGCTAATGGGAATTTTTTATCTGGTTCCTAACGATATAAAACTTGATTCTGTCGATTGCCATAAGCGAGAAAATGATAAGGCAACCTGGTATTTTTTCACAAGATCGCGCCCTTATTCCAACCTTTTCAGTACGTGCAAACCTTATGGCTTCGATTTTTCACTATTAGATTGTCCTATAATGTTAATGTGTTAAAATCTTGTTGAAATGCTATGAAAGAGAAATTCAAAAAATAACCTATTTTCTTCTGCGAAAGGAAAATACATTTTTCATATGCCTAGCAGACGTCCGGTCGCTAAGTTTCCATTTTTTGAGCTCAGCACTGACATAATTTTCAGTGGTTGAAATCCCTGAAGATAGAAAATCGCTCAGCAAAATCTGTCATTAGCTGACGGTCTATTAGGTGAACCGCATTTTTTAGAGAACTACTGTCTATAACCTCTCAGAGTTCATATAAAACTGGATATTATTAGATATCACGATTATGTAATCTCAAATATTTATTTAGGGATTTATGGAACCAACTTTGCAGTCACAATACCGACAGAGTTTTTGTTAATCTATTATGTCTGGAATCAGTTCAGAAGACTATCAAAGTGAAGATGGAGAATTGAGGCAAAGTCCATCCACGCATTCTGTAGCAAAATTGCAGCAAATGGATTATCAAAGGTAAGACTTTCTAAACCTTGCATACAATCTTCAATGGTGCTTATTATCTAGTGGAGAAGATGACGCAGGGGACTCACTTGATATCAAGCCACCACAAGCCAAAGTATCAGACTATAGACGAAAGAAAAGAGACTTAAATAAGCCGCATCATAGACTTCCAGATAGGAGTGAAAGGAAGCGGGACAGCAGACATGGGCATAAGGAGAAACATCGTAGGTGAGTTAACCTCAAAATGATAACAAATCTCCGATTTCTGTTGTCTTGTCAATTCTCAGTTTAAGTATAGTTGTATGTATTGTTTCATAAGCTGCAAGCTCCCAGATTCACAGACTAAGTTTTTTGGTTTCCACAAGTTACAAATCGTGAGCCAAGTTTTGGACCTTGTGGACTTCTGGGTGTTGGTCACTTGCGCCCTGCGGTCAGTTTTTACCTGCCAATAGTCTGAGTGATGTAAATTTTCATTTCAGTTAGTCAGTTGCGCCCTTAATCCAATAAAATTATGAAGGGACGATTATTATTTCGAAAGTAAATTGTATCATTTTGAATTAGACATCATGTGGCTTACCACTACATCCAGTTACGGAAGAGCAGAAATACAGATGTCCTACAGTGGAACTGAAAATAAAAACTTTTTTCTGTCTGCAGTTAACCTATATCAATCTCTCGGCCACTGGCTACACAGAAGAAAGGATCGAAAATTTTCCTACCAAATACTTGTTTGCTTTTTATTTAGTTTATTTGAACAAAATCTAATTCAAACTATGTACTTCAATTGGAACAAGGCTATTTGTTTAAGCAACAGCGTGTCTTGTTTCCGTGTTTCTTTTATGGTTCGTGTCTGATCCTTGGCTGCAGGAGCTTTAATCGCCCATTTGTGTCGTGGACACTCATCATAAGACTAAAACTTCTAAAATTTTACTCATGAAAAATTTTAGAAGTTCAATCAATTTCTAAGCAAATATTTTGTATTGAAAATTCTATCATATTCTATCTTTATCTGATTTTTTTTTTCAGCTAAAAGTCCATTTTGGGATGGTAGAATATTCCCTCAACAATAGAATTTTTAGAAACATATTTTTAATCTAATTCAACTTGGATATAAATAATAATCCTTTCTTTTAAAGGGATAAGTCTTCCAGATACCAAACCAAAGACAGCGAACCCAAAGAACGCGATCGGGATCGCTACCATAGAGAAAAACACCAGTCATATGAACAAATGGGATATACAGAGCAACAGTATCTAAATGAAAGAGCTTTTCGCGAAAGAAAAGCTGAGGAAGCCAGAGCCAGGCAGGAGAGAAAGTTTAAAGAAGGCAACTCTACGAGTGACAGAAGTCAAAATAGAGATTCTCGTGGTGAAAAAAACAGAAAAGAAAGGCAGAATGATGATAAAAGAGCCAGCAAGGCTTTGGCTGATCTTAGGGAGAGGTTAGTAATTGTGCCTTCATGAAATAGTCACATTTATATATTTTTTTTGAATTTATTTTATTTATTTTTTTTAGAATAACTTCTGAATTAAGGTTTGTATTTTATTTAGCAAAAGTGAAAATAATGAAAATATATTTTTGTGACAATTGATTCGATTTCTGTAGAATTGTTTTTGCACTTCTAGTTGATAATTGGCACAAAAATTATTTTCATTACTTATAGGTTAATCGAAAAGCGTAAAATCGACGAGATTCGTACACATGATATGGGGAGAACAAGGGAACGCGAATTTGAAGAAGTTGATGATAATCTTGAGGATCCATTGGAAGGTTATTTGTTTTAATTTTATTAGAGATTGCAATTTCTAATGTGTATTTTTCAGGAGAAGCTGGTAGTTATGTTAGAGAAATAATTACCTTGACTGCTGAAGAGAGGAACTATAGAAAAGAAAAAGAAGTAGAAAGGCATCACACAGAAGAAGAAAAATTGGAACGAGAGCAAAGGAGAGAAAAATTGTTGGAAGCTGGTGAGTTCCATACACAGGTCGTTTGCTGCCTTTAAGTAGACTAATGAGCTCCATCAAGAATATGAATTCAATCAAGCAAGTTACACTTAGGTATTTGTAATGAAAATATGTACATAGAAGTATGAACAAAAATTCAAAAGTTTAGTCCTTTTTTAAGTTTATTTTTTTTTTATGTTAATAAGTACCCAATGTCGATAATTAGGTAATAGGGTAGTGGACAAGGTATAATTTCAATGAAATCGATGATCTATTGTTCATCTATGGAGTAAATGAAAAATATTTCTATTGAAAGAGATTTCAGAAAAAATTGCTAACTTTTTTAAAAACGATTGTAAAAATACAGTTTTGGGACGCACTATTTAAACGAAAATATTTCGCGCCTTGATTCTACGTCATAGCTGCTGTATTTGAGTATGAAATGAATCAAACCTTCGTCCTATATTCGACACACACTGACTCATTAGTGCAAAAAAGAGAGATATATCAGTTTCAATTTCAAATAAGCTTTATTGCCCAAAAATTTCACAATTTCATTGACAAAGCAATAAGGAATATCTTATAATTAATACTTAAAATTAATACAATATCCAATAATTCAAACTGAACAAACACAAGACAAGAACAGTTTGATAGTCTAAAACACGTTACAACATTTACATTAACTGACATTATTTATAAAGTATGTATATAACACTATAGCTATCCCATTCAATCTTCATAAAATTCAGTAAGACCATAATATGCCTTGGCGAGCAGGTAGTTTTTCACAGACATACGGAAACTCTCATAGCAGTCCCTATCCTTAATGTCTTGAGGAAGATGGTTAAACATTTCCACACTTTCATAAATTATTGAGTTTTTTGTAAGGGAAAGCAAAGTATTGGCAGCGGTAGGTAGTTTTGCCTTAAACTGTAGTTCCTGTCCTGTACAAAACCAGAAAACTTTCTATAAATCAGAGAAACCGACTCAAGAATAAAAATGCAGGGCACCGTTAATATTTCCTCCTGTACAAAAAGCGGTGGACAGGTTTCTCTACAGCCTTTTATTTGGGTCAATAAAAAAACAAAATACAACAGGAGAAGACAACATTTCATTGAGAATCCTAAAAAAATTACCTGGCAATGCTATAGATGTGTTGGCATCAAGCATCAACAAGTCTTTTGAAACTGGTGTGTTCCCTTCTTGTCTTAAGTCAGCGATTGTCATTCCCATTTTTAAAGGGGGCGACAGCACTGATCCTTCTAATTATAGACCAATCTCGCTATTGAGCATATTATCTAAGGTTATTGAGAAATTAGTAAAGGAACAGCTTCTCTCCTATTTAAATACATATGGCATTATAAACAAAAATCAATTTGGCTTTCAGAACGGTAAAAGCACAGATGATGCTATTTTCTCATTTTTGGAAACCTTATATCTGGGACTTAATGATCGGGAGGTTGCCGCGGCAGTGTTCTGTGATTTTTCGAAAGCATTCGACTGTGTAGATCACGGGATACTGTTGCGTAAGCTGGCTCATTATGGTATTCAGGGAATCCCTTTGAACTGGTTTGGTTCGATGCTCTCCGAAAGATACCAATCTGTGAGCGTGAAGGGGGACACATCACAAAAGGCAAGAGTTTCTTGTGGCGTGCCACAGGGCTCTGTCTTGGGCCCCATACTGTTTCTTATATATGTAAATGATTTACTAAAACTTCCAGTAACTGCAAAACTAACAGCATTTGTTGATGATGCCAACGCACTATGGACCTCAAAAACTCTTGAAAATTTAAACCTAACCATCGAATCAGATCTATTAAGTATTAAACAGTGGTGCGACTCGAACAAGCTTTGCTTTAACATTCAAAAAACCAATATTTTAACTTTTAAATGTGCCTTGTCTGATATAAAAATTGAAGATCAAATCCTCGAAAACAAAATAACTGTAAAATATCTTGGCATTTACATTGATAAGCAACTTAAATTTGATTCTCATATAGACAACCTAGCAAAAAAATATCTTGTGCCTGTTACGTCATTAGAGCAGTTACTCAAGATCTCGGCAAAAAAATAGGAAAAAATGCTTACTACTCTTTAATAGAGTCCCATATTCGATATGGGATCGCTTTCTGGGGTTTTTCGCCACAATCTTCAATTCGCACTTTATTTATTTTGCAAAAGAGGGCGGTTCGATATTTATGCAGGGTAGGTTGTAGGGAAACCTGTCGGGGCTTGTTTAAGGAGGAGGCTATTCTGACTGTGCCCTGTATTTTTATTCTTGAGTCGGTATCTCTTATATATAAAAAGTCTGCAAGTCTTGTTCAGGAAAATAATTATTATCTTCGTAATAATAATACGTTACCACTCCCAATACCAAAATTTGCCTTAACAAAGCAATCGATAATTTATGAGAGTAAAAAAATGTTTAATAAACTACCACAGGATATAAAAAACGTTTCCTGTTATAAAGCATTTCGGTCAAATGTTAAAAAATATCTAGCCACCAAGGCTTTCTACAGTTTAAAAGAGTATTATGACGACTAAATGAGCTTTGTGTTACAGTTATTGTATTTTATCTATTTTATAAGTCTAGACCTATTCATTTTGAAATTGTGTTGTGACTTGACTTTGACTGGTTGTTTTGTTATGTATGTATTTAAGCGTGAGTTTGTACAATTTTGATCATGCACCATAAGTTTACTGTCCTGTAATTTTAATATTAAGTATATTCTTTAGTCTAAGGAAAATTACCCCTTTGAGATGTTACTTGTTTTATTATTGTTTTGTTTATTTTATTATTACTCTTGCTTTGTCAATGAAAATCTACATTTTTAGACAATAAAGCTTGCTTGAAATTGAAAAATTGAAATTCCTACAAAGATAACGTAGGGCCCTCTTTTGAAGCACAAATACGGACTGTATAGATTTTTGCGCAGAGTAACCCCAGAAAGCTATCCCGTATCTGATATGTGATTCGAGTAGTGAATAATAAGCTGTTTTAGCTTCTTTCTTGCCAAGTTCCTGTACTACAGTCCTAACAATGTAACATCCGCTTGCCAATTTTTTATTTAAATGGTCAATATGGGAGTCAAATTTCAGTTGTGTGTCAATGTGCAACCCAAGAAACTTCACGGTTGTTCTATTTGCCAGGATTTCGCTTTCTAGTCTGATGTCAGTCAAAGAGCACTTGAAAGTGAGTATGTTTGTCTTTTGTACGTTAAAACATAATTTATTTGTATCACACCACCTCTTAATTTCGGAGAGATCGTTTTCGATGGTTGTCTGAAAATTGTCTAGAGTCCTTGAAGTCCACAGACCGGTAGCATTGTCTGCGAAAGCCGTGAATTCCCCCGAAATTGCAAGGGATAGTAGGTCGTTGACGTAGAGTAGGAAAAGAATGGGTCCCAACACAGACCCCTGCGGCACACCATGGATAATCTCAGCCGTATCAGAATCAACCCCATTCACTCGGACGAACTGGCATCTACCTGAGAGCAGCATTGACCTGAACCAGTCCGAAGCTGTTCCACGGATGCCATAATGACTAAGTTTCTGCAGCAATATTTCATGATTTACGCAATCGAAAGCTTTCGAGAAATCACAAAACAATGCCGCAGCCACCTCTCGATCATTCAAGCTGAGGTATAGTTTTTCCAAAAATGAGAAGATGGCATCATTTGTCCCTCTAGATGAACTTTGAAAACCAAACTGATTCCGATCAAGAACATTATGCCTCTTCAAAAAATCCACCAGTTGCTCTTTAACAATTTTCTCCATGATCTTCGAGAGAGTACACAGTAGCGAAATAGGTCGATAATTCGATGGATCTGAACTGTCTCCCCCCCATTTAAAGATTGGGATTACTACTGCCGATTTCAGACAAGGAGGAAATATTCCAGCGCCCAGAGACAAATTAATACAAGAGGCTAGTGCCTCTAGAGCACTGTCTGGCAAGTTTTTCATGATTTTTGCAGTATTTCTGCAAAAATCATGAAATCGCTTCCTGAAGCATTCTGGTTTTTAATACTTTTACAAATTTCCCTGATTTTATGTTTGTTTGTTGTTTTGAAACTGAAGTTTTCTGTGTAAGATAATGGCTGTAGATAATGTAAAGGATGAGTGTTAGAATTAAGATTATCTGACAGCTTTCAGCGTCTCTCGGGCGCACCCTCAACTTAACCCCACTTTTTGAGAGATTTCCACTTGTCAATCAATGCACACTGAGTTTATCTGCATCTTTTTCTAGAAGCATGTAAAATATGAGGACACACTGACCGCGCTCTCGCCCACTCTAAATTAATGTCGGAATGCCTTGACACTATAAGACAGACAGCTATGACGTAATTTCCGGGCGATAAATTATAGCGTTTAAAATAAGTACAAATTTGTTTAGTTTTTTTTAGGTATATTTTTGTTTTCTGAAATCAAAGAATCATCAACTACTATTTATTTTGTTATGGAGATTAATAAAAAAAATATTTCAAAAAATTGTCCACTACCCTATTATCCAAATATTTATTGAATCCTAAAAATCGTCATGTTTTTATCAAATGTTGTGCAAAAGCTCCACAAAATTTTAAAGGTGATGTTGACTTTTAAGGGCTGGCATATCCACTTTTTGATAAACTGTCAGGTATGCAATCTGACAGTTAGAAACGCAATCTTTAATCCTATTGCTCAGCCAGTTATCCGCCGACCAATAGGATTATAGAACGGTGAATTTGCATATAGTTCCAGCAAGTTTATCTGAAGATGAATGAACCGGCCCTAAATGAGATAATGCCCTATTGTGTTTTTTTCCAGGATAGACACGAGATTGACAAAATTGAAAACATTAACAATGCTGCTTGGCGCTTATTGGCCCCAAAATGCCCCAGCTATCCTTTCACAGGGTTTTAATCAGTTGAACACTGAATGTTTTGAAAACGTAATAGCAAAAATATTATTCTTTACGTTTTATTAAACTTGAAAATCAACAATATTTTTACAGCATTCAGTTTAAAACTGATTTCAACCCTGAATAACGATACCTTCGCCGACTTCCGGAACACAGCATTTTGCGACCAATAAGCGATATTGTTTATGTTTTCAATGTTGTCAATGTTGTGTCAGGAAAAAAATACAGTTATCGGGATAAGTTGACATGACCGAGGTGGGAGTAGCAAGAGTAGGTTCTTTGGAACAGAGGACACACGGACGCGTGGAATACGTTGTTCGTTGTCAGTAGTTGATAATAATGAATTTATTCAATTTGAGTATTGTTACGGAATTGCCTCGAGAGCCCGGCGGTATTCTTGGGAGTTTCTTGTTCACGTATAGGAGCACGTCTTTTCTGGTAATTCTATTATATTCGATACGATGTTTTTAAAGATAGATCCGCAGTGCAATTTCGACTATAAATAGCCCGCCGTAGTAGGTATTGAGTATTGAGAGTCAGTCTAAATAAGAGCTTTGTTGTGAGCAGTTTATACATATAAGAGTGTTGTTGAGTTTAGTTCAAATTCGGGATTTGTTAGCATCTTTCTGAGCTCATTGTGGCCTTTAGGGCAAAATTTATAGACGTTCGTTGAGGTGTCTTTGAGGGTCGTTAGTTTACGTTTACAATGGGCACTTGTTACTATTTAACAAGTCTATCAAGTCAATTGTAAACGTCCAAGGCTTCCTTTAGTCTCCAAAGAGACCTCAATGAGCGACTTTGAATTTCGCCCTCCTTAGCTTAACAAATTACAAGCTGCAATTACTCAGCTCACTATTGGTGGAACGTGTTTTTATTTTAAACCATCTATGTAATTTTCACATTCCTTACAGGTTCGAAAATCAGGCCTATCAAGTATCATTTTCAGTTATTTTAACAGCAGCGGCGTTTATGTGTTTTGTTGAAATTTCCTAAGATGTCAATGTCGGTGTCAGACTGTCAGTCGAAATTTAATAGGGAACTTGCAAGTGAACTAAAATTTTCCAAATTTGTTTTAAATCGATAGTTTATGCTGCACAATATTCATATGACCAGTTTTTATTTAACTGATACCGCCCTTTACACAAAAAAATAATATTAAATTTGAAATAAAAATTTTCCCGCCAAAACAATGCTTCTATGATGGATACCTGTTTTGACGTCACGATTCTGTAAACAAACCCGTCAATAGGGAAATCTGTGATAGGGAACTTGCACGTTAAAAAAATACAAAAGCAGTCCTTCACAATATTCTTCATCCAATGCGATAATTTTCATGAAAAGCAAACTTTAACACACTTGAATAACATAAAAATATAGTCGTAATCACGATAGAAAGTGAAGTTGACAGTTCGCGTTGACATATCTAGTATTTTTTTTCTTTAGGTTGCCAGCATGCGTAAGCGTTTTCATTCCTGCAGCTGGGATAAACGACAGGGTCGTATTTAGGAAAATGATATGCATTCCAGATTTATTTTTAATTTTTTTAAAGGCAGTCAAGTTATTAAAATCCTGCATAGTAATATTAAACATCTGTGATAGAACAAACCTAATATTTTCTAATAGTTGTTGCTGTAGCTGGCCGCCCAAGTACTCTGTTGATTTTTAAAGGTTAGATGGTATATGCGAGCGGTTTATTGATGCTAGTTATTTCCTTCGGTAGCTACAGAATTAAATGCTGAAGGGGGTTTACTTGCAAAAGAGAGAAACAACTGCAGTATTTCCACACATATTATACATATTTAATTTTAAATAAATGAACCCAAATTTTTCCAATAATAATATACAGTACTTAAATTTCTACTCAAATTTTCCATTAATAAAATTATACAGTACTAAAATTTCTACTCAAATTTTCCAGTAATAGAATTATACAGTACTAAAATTTCTACCCAAAAACTCTTCTCATGTGGCTTACATCAGGCTTTTCCATGAGGGCTCTTCTTGGATCATCCTTTCTAAAGGTAAATCCTAACGTGAGCAAAACCCTGCCTAAACTTGACTGGGAACCGTAATAAATTTCACTTTCTTTCAGCCTATCACTTACAGTCTTAAGGGTAACATATGCAATTCTAAAAACGAAAAATGCTTGTTTAAATATTGTAGTACTGTAGTAACAGCAAATATTACTGATTTTAGTTAGTATATCTTGTTCAATTAGCTTTGAGACTTTCGTCAATAATGACACCGAGTGTATTCTTATGGAATTTGCTGGTGACACCATTATAACGTAACTCTTAAAGGTAATTGAACAAAGTAACTTAGTATTACTATTTAACACCAGTCCCTATAACAAAAAGACTACTACCCAAAAATGAACTAAAATTACCCAGTCTAGTTTGTGTTAGTGAAATGGCTTAAACTTATAATTGAAGAAGAGAGGAGTATGCATTCTGTGTAATAATTTATTAAGAAAATCCGCCGAGTGCTTCCGGCCTTAAGTCATCACCAGTGCTGCTTCGTCGCAGGTACAAACATCACACACAAGAGACAACTGACACAAGTGGACGTGCATAATTAAATTTAACTATTAATTAATCAATTACCTGTGTAGTAATGGGTTTTTTACCAAAAACTGCTAAATAATATAAAAAAAGAAGAATAACAGTAAGAGGTGGGCGACAGATGGGACATTGCCCCTCTAAATAATTTATACAAGCATAATATTAGATGATACATTAAATAGGAAGTTTAATTAGTGATACCATGTTTAGAGGTACCAAAGTCCGCTAGAAAATATGACAACACAAAATGCTAAACATCTGAAAAACAATAAACCCAACACACAGGATAAAGCATGCAGCAGAAGTTACAGAAGCTCTGCAAATATCTGAACCCAAACTGTGTAGGTACGTCAAAAAGGGGAATATGAATACTTATCCTTATGAAAGACTCGAATAACTCAGGTACCTTTATTGAAAAGCAAGAAAACAATTCTAAAAAATATCATGAAATTATGGAATGAAAGAAATCTTAGCAGCACCTTAATTTGTGTTGACCTGAAATAAAAAATAGTATTAAACTATGAAAAACAGTTTAATTTGATCTGAGAAGTTCCAATGTTATCAGGTGTATTCTTTCGGAATAATCTACTGGTAATGTTAATATGAAGTAACATTGAAACAACTCTATGTTCAAAGTAGAACATCAACTTACTCTCTGTATACATTTTGTATATCTCTAATCGAATAGTCTGTTTGACGCTTCCACTTGAATCAGTTGTCTGCAGCTTCTTACGCTTCCGCGTGACAGGGGTAATTTCAGACTCAACTGAACCATCCTTATATTTATAGACAGTGGTCTCACTTAGTTTCAAAACCTTAGCTCTCTCCTAAAAAGGCAATGGAACAGTAAATTACAATTTATTTATTAAAAATTAACAAAAGCCACTCGGTTCGAAAATATCCCCTTCCAAAACTTGTACCTACATTTACTGAGATTAAGACGAAAACGTTTCTATGATCAATCAAGACTAACTTTATTGTTATTAACTTACAGTTATGGGATTTTGATCTTCATGAGACACCTTGAAATGGTTGTATACGAGTTGTATAAATTGGTGAGCCACAGGGTTCCCATGAATTATTGGTCTCTACAAAAGGATTATTTGCTTATTTTTACTAAATTTGAAAACACTACCTTGTCACTTTTCCTCTTGCTTAGAAAAAAAAAAGATTCGTCTCGTAAAGAAGAAGCATCTCCAAGGTTTATTGCTGTTCCCTGAAAATTATTGGCGATGAATTATGACAGTGGTAATTTAAAGTTGCCAATTTTACCGTATTTTCTTCACACCTAAATCATCTGAGATGCTGGAACAGAGCAAAGTCTCCAGGACCCTGGTACGATCGAACTTGTCCGGAGACTTTTCTGTCATCGCTAATAAGAAAACGGCACTTTTAAAATCGTAATATTGTGTAAGTATTAGGTTTAACTTACCTGAAGAAGATAAAATAAACCAGATAAGTCTTGATAGAGTCCAAAGTGAACACTTATAAAAAGACAAAACACTTAAATCCGAACTAAAACCAGGTTAGAAATGAAACGCAACACCGAAACACAAAGGCACAGAACACTACATAAAAAACCATAAAACCGATTGAGAATATAACAAAATATCAAAAAATAATGCAGAAAACGGCAATAAACTAAAACGATCTCGCGCAAAAATTCGAAATTCAAAATTCTAAGATCCGAATCTGATAATTTTATATGTCAAATCGAAATGTCATGTATCATTATTTGATGGTTGACAGAAAAAGGGACAGATCTAGGGATTTCATTTACTTTCAACTGGTGAAAATAACGTTCAAAATTTAAACTCTATCGTGAATACGACTATAGCACTGCGTCAGCAGGAGTTCATTTGCTGCGTATTTGATGTTTACAAAATCTCAACGTCACAAGCGCTGTCAAATTGGGATTTCGTGTTTTCGCGCCAAAGTATTTGATTTGAATTTCAATAATTTTTTTTTGGTACAGCGTATAAATTAAAATGGAAAAACAGAAAACTATGTAATAACTGATCATTAGAAGTATCTAAAAAAAAATAATTTGAGAAATATGAAAATTCCCTATTTTTGTCATATTTTTACCTTATTTTATTCAATAATCAATGGTACAAAATAAAATAGTATACATAATTCGGTGGAAAGTTTTCATATCATTGTCTCGAGAATTGGTTGACCTCGCGCTTCGCACCTCGGTCAACCATATCATCTCTCGACAATAATGAAACACTTTCCACCTCCACATGTGATATACTATTACTGTGCAGTGTAATGTGAAAAACCATACGGCTCCGGCTCATTAAAAATTGCAATTTTCAAGCTCAATATCACACCTGGAATTGTAGAATGTATGTATTAAGAGAACAATCTTGTTGTTCCAGAACGAGAAATGGCCCGTTTGAAAGAAAGGACCAAAGCAGAACGTGAAAAAAGACACACAGAGAGGGCCATGAAAAGAAAACAAGAAGCAGAAGAAGACTGTCACAAAAAAATCAAGGTGCACGAAACTCAACAGGTAAAATTGATTTCAATTTTTGACAAATAGTTTTATGCACAATAACTTCTAAATAAAAGCCCGACGCTTTTATTGAGCTATTGTGCATTCAAATATTTAATTAAACAGTGTTTTGATATAAAATGTCATAGTTCTTTGAATTAAATTTATGGCGCCAATTTCGTTGCTTGTCACCTGGCATCGGTCGCCATTCTGATTGGATTGCCCTATTATCGAATTTAATACCACAAGAGGTTTCAGGATTACCGGATAATACTTTTACCTGATACATAAATAAGGTACATGATACATAAATAACTATTATATCCTACTGAACTATTATAATCATATAATACCTTGGTTACGATAATCATAAACAGGGTCGTAACTCCCGCGTGGGATTTGAGGATTTCATAACTCCCAAGGGAGTTAAGGAACGGAGTTAAGGATATCATAACTCCCAAGGGAGTTAAGGATTTTCGTAACTCCCGCTTTTATCTTGAATAGGTAAAACTTAGAGAAAAAATTAATCGATCAAAAGAACTTACCTGAAGTTCGATCGTAATTATATGAAGGTCCAGTCCGATATATTACAATAATTTTTTACCATGTAGTACATGTTTCTTCTACTTCTCGAGCACAAGGTTCAAAGATAATCCAAGAAGGAAAGAAATATGGCAACTACGCCGTGCCGCACTCTCCGCGTCATCGCCAGTTCCTATTTATTTGTTTAAAGTCTAAATATTTTTATGGCAATTTTGGTTGGGGGTGGGCGGGATTGTAACATTTCGGACTGGACCTTCATATAATTACGATCGAACTTCAGGTAAGTTCTTTTGATCGATTAATTATATTTCAGGTCCAGTCCTCAATATTACAATAATTTTTTACCATGTACATGTTTAAAGAAAACTTGCCATCAAAATATTCATTAAAAATATAAACATATAAAGATATGATATAGCATCAAACTAAATTTTATTCTCTTATTCCAATAGGTATACACTTTACAAACTGAGTTTGAGTATGTAAAAAGAAAAATGAAATCCATAGCAAAAACTCAAAAAAAAGAAAACTCCTATACAAAAAAATAAACAAAATCAAACATTTGTAATATTCATTCTGAGTCCATAACTGTATGTAAAAAACTTCGGTCGTCAGTTAAGGGCCTATTATTAAACTTGGCAAACGTCGTTGATTCTGCGCCCCACCCTGCCGTACTTCTAATTTTGTCCACTGAGAGGCCCTTCCTAAAGGCTGCAGAAGACGCGGCGTGTCGTGTGGAGTGCGCCTTGAAGGTGGACGAATCGACTCCTGAAGCCTCCAGAGTTGTTTTTATCCAACGACTCAGTGTCTGTTTGGATGCAGGCTTATGCGGTTTTTTGAAAGTCACAAACAAGTTATCTATGTTTGGTTGTCTCAACGTCTTGGTGGCAGCTAAATATTTCCTCAAGGATGATGCTATACATAATTTAGGGTTTGTGTATAGAAAGGGTAACTCTAAACAAGGTTGTGAAGCGTTATGTCTTGATGTTTTTATTAAGAGGCCTGGGTACCTCTGTGCGACGGGTTAAACTATTTTTTGATTTACGTCCAAAGTATTGGATCAAAATCAATGAAATTTGGTGGGATGATAGATGATGAATCACAGAAGAATGAAAAGTAATTTTTTATAGAAAAAAGTAATTCTGAAAATTATCTCGCCTCTCAAAAAAAAAAGATTGGAATATAAAATACTTCTCACATTTCTATGTTAAAATACTAACATTTTTTACCAATATAATTTTTTTGTTAAACACGTACATTCTTGTTAAACATAAAAAAACAGAAAATGTATTATTTCGGATCAATTCCTGCAATCGCAACTACATATTCTATGGCATGGCAACACTGAGAACTGCCCCGCCAACCCCCGGCCGGCGCTTCGACAACATCCCGGGAATAAAATAATATTTATTCTTATCTCAATAATTGTTTTGACCATTCCGTGCCGTCGAAGAGTTTTTGCATTGCCTTTTGTGTTTTGAAAATAAACTGGGTAAAACCTTTGGTACAACTTCAGAAATTTTTGATAGGAAAAGATTACATTTATCTACTGAACGTAAAAATTGACGACTTCCTATAAAAAAAATCTAGGTGAAATGGTAATATTAAGTACATTATTTAATATAATTAATAGGTATGGTAACTAGGTAATTACCGCACGCGAGAGAAATTTGCAATCTCTAAGGGCGGTAATAGCCTAATTACCATACCTATTATACAGTATTTTATCTACAATCATGCGATATCTAAAAGAAGCTTAAAGAATGATGAAAAAAATGAGCCTTTCACTTTTGACAGTGAACAAGTAGAATTTAGGTGATAGGTATAGGTAATATATCTTTGGTAGGCGATTGAAGGTATTACGTACCTATGTGGATAGAGCGTGCGGTAATAATATTATCGCATGCCGTGCGGTAGAGTGCACTTCACCGCACCCATTTGCGTGTCGTAGGGAGCCTACTCAGTGCTGAAAAGGTAACTTTTCCTACAGCCGTGCGGAAAAATCGATTCATGTCAGTGCGGAAAAAAAATTTCCGCACGGCTGTCAGTGCGGAAAAAATTTTACCGCACTGATATGTCAAAAAAAAAAAAAAAAAAAAATTACAATTTTTCGCCTGTAGGAAAAATATTGTACCTAACACTTGCGGAAAATATTTTTCCGCACTTGTTAGGTAAATAGCTATTACCTACAAGCGTGCGGTAAAGTGCACTTAACCGCACTTATTTGGAAATGGAAAGTAGCACTCTACCGCACACTATGCCGTAAAGTTACTTCACCTACGAGCGTGCGGTAAAGTGTACTTTACCGCACGTATTTGCAAATGGAAAGTATCACTTTACCGCACACTATGCGGTAAAGTGCACTTTAACGCATAGTGTGCGTTAAAGTCAACTTTACAGCATAGTATGCGGTAAAGTGGAACACAAAGTGTGCGGTAAAGTGCACTTTACCACATAGTGTGCGGTAAAGTAGAATTTGATATTTATAATCAAAAATCCTCTTTTTTTCAGAAAATGGATTTTTGATCATTTCTAAATTTTATCTAATTTAATTAATTAATCTGAACCATTAATTAATTTGATCAATGCCTTTTTTTTGGAGTTGTAGATGCTCATAGGTAAAATTTTGTACCTAACACATGCGGAAAGTGCCTTTACCGCCCTTAACGGCTTGACCGAACTCCGCTTCGCGTCGTTCGGTCAACTGCCGTTGCGTGTGGTAAAGTATCACTTTCCGCATTTGTTAGGTAAAGTTAACTTTACCGCATAGTATGCGGTAAAGTAGATTTTGGTATTTATGATGAAAAATCCTTTTTTTTTCAGAAAATGGATTTTTGATCATTTCTAAATCTAATCTAATTTCATTAATTAATCTGATTCATTAATTAATTTTATTATGCCTTTTTTTTGGAGATGTTCATAGGTAAAATTTTGTACCTAACACATGCGGAAAGTGCCTTTACTGCCCTTAAGGGCTTGACCGAACTCCGCTTCGCGTCGTTCCGTCAACTGCCGTTGCGTGCGGTAAAGTATCACTTTCTGCATTTGTTAGGTAAATAACTATTACCGCATAGTGTGCAGTAAAGTAGATTTTGTTATTTATAATCAAAAATCCCTTGTTTTCCAGAAAAGAGATTTTTTGTCATTTTTAAATCTAATTCAATTTTATTAATTAATCTAATTCATTAAATAATTTAATTGATGCCTTTTTTTTTGGGGGGTGTAGGTAAAATTTTGTACCTAATACATGCGAAAAGTGCCTCTACCGCCCTCAACGGCTTGACCGAACTTCGCTTCGCGACATTCAATCAGTGCTACTTTCTATTTACAAATAAGTGCGGTAAAGGTGTTTACCGCACGTTCGTAGGTAATAGTTATTTATATCACAAGTGCGGTATGAACTTCATTTATTACAGTAAAGAGTGGTAATCACACGAGTGGTGTAATGAGCGTTACCGTACGTGTGATATACAGCATTTTATGTATGACGCAGATTTTTTTGTATGTATTCCAAATTGGTTTTATTTTCCACAAAAGATTAAATTTATAACTTTTCCGAATAAATTAATTTTAAAAAATGCCGTTTTTCAATGAAAATGAGTTACGTAATGAGCGCATTACATCACAAGTGATTTATATTACATCACTAGTGATGTAATGAGCTGATTACATCACTAAGTACGATAATACAACTTATTACGTAACTCAAACACTCAAACAGGCTTAAATGAGTTACGTGATAAGCTCTTACAGTGTGGGTCGTACATAAAAATTCTTTACCGCAGTGCTGTAATAGTATATTACAAAACAAGTGTGGTATTTAGGTTATTACCGCACACGGGAGAAATTTGCCAACCGAGCCGGTGAGGCGAGCTTTGCAATCTCTAAGGGCGGACATAATCTAATTAGTAATTACCATACGAATTATATACAGTATTTTATCTACAACCGTGCGGTAGCAAAATATTTGATAGAAGTTTGGAAAATTATAGAAAATAAAATTGCTTCTGGCACATTAATTTGACAGTGGACGGGTAGAATTTAGGTGATAGGTATGTAATTGAAGGCATGCGGTAATAATATTACCACACGCTATTACAGCACGTCATGCGGTAATAAAATTACCACACGTCGTGCGGTTATATGGTACATACCGCACGCAAAATCGTGTGATATACCTTAGTTACCGCACGCTCGTAGATGAAACTTCTTTACCGCACTCTTTTAAAAATACGTTTGATAGTGTTCATATTCTTTATTAATGTACACTAAGTGCGGTAAAAATTCGTAGGAAAAATTTTGTTCCCAACATGTGCGCAAAGTTTCTTTTCCTCGTCCAAAAACTTATCCGAACTCCGCTTGACGTCGTTCGTATAAAGTCTGTTTTTTTTTTTAAAGATAAAAGTCAAAATGGCATTATGTTGGCAAATTTTCAATGTAGAAAAGGCTTGTGTTGCCAACATAGTTGCTCACTA